CTCTGTTAGAGCACATCAAATATACAGGATGATTATCAGGTAGTAAAACACGCAGACACCACAAAGAAGTGAATACAATGGCAACAAATAGTATAGTGACTCACCTGTTGTCCAGGTCTCGTGTTCCTGCTGTTTTTTTGACGAAGCAAAACTTGGCAGTAATATGCTGAATCAACACAGCCAAGATAATCATTAGCCAGAAGGGCCTGAAAGGACAAAAACAAAAATGAGGCTTCTCCTGTGGTGATACAAGCAAGATAAAAGGGACAAAGCAATTTTGTAACTGGCAGGAAATGTTGCAAGTCAGAGTCATTTTTGCATGGAGCATGTTGCTGCTGTTGACTGAAAACCACTCCAGATGCAAAGTTTTCAAGCTTAATGAGTGAGAGATGCTCACCACATGCTCCACACAAGCTGAAAGAGAATCAGATTCCGTCTGTGCTGGATGGGTATGATAATGAGGAAGACAACGATCAGAAGGCAGAGGAAGAACACCATGGTCTGGACCATCATACCTGCAATGGAGAGATCAGAGTTTCAGTGTTTCAAAGATTACACTCTGTCCAGCATCCAACAAATCTACAATACACACACATTTCTTTTTGTTTTTTTTTCTTGGTAACTTCAAAAACCCTGACACATCTCTAGCTGATTCAGCCAATTGCTAGAAAGAGGGTTTAGATACATTTAAGGAGTGTGACCAGAAGGAAACAGTGAAAGTTTACTATGGTTACTGAGGTGAGTATGTTTTACCCTTAGAGCATGAATATGTCCAAACATTTCCCTCTATTTAGATGAACAGTACCGTATTTAATTCTACAAAACAAGCACAAAATCTAACGTTTAGCAGCATTTCTGAAAAGATCAATTAAAAAGGAATGGCTAAAAACATAATATCAGCATCCAGTGGTAAAACCTTTGCTTATTCCCTTCAGTACTTTGAAACTGTACCGATACAGATGTGAGCTGCTGTGAAGCTGGTATATCCCATCCAGCAAACCAGTGCTGGCCGGGAAGCCCTGATACTCCTCTGGCAGTTGTAAACATTATAGATATCTCCTCTGTACAGCCCCTGCAGGTTTGATCTATAGAGAGAAAATACTATCAAGACAATGCAGGACTATGCAATATATAAACTGATTTATCACTAAATGTACAAATTACACAGTAAACTGAACAGCACAGGATACAGCTGCAATGCAATTCAATACTTGACTCGGAAACCCATTTAATTTAATATGACGCAATTTATGGTAATGGCACTATATTCCATGTCTTATCTTAATAGCCACTTTCAGTTCTAGCAGCAGTTAATGCTGAGTGAATGTTATTCTGTGTCTCTGGATGATTAGTACTCTATTATGCTATAATAACTCCTCTGTGAACCATGACATTATAATGAAGGAAACAGAATGCAACCCACATTCACAATTCTTGAAATCTTTGGGAAGAGAATTTTAAAAACAAAGAGCAGTCTTGCACTGTTTTGTACTGAAACCTACCGATGCAGGACCATAGACCGCATGAGCATAGCCAGATTGACCAAACCTGACAGGGTCATTGCTGAGATATAGCACACTGCAAGAACAAAACAGCACATGGCCTTCAGGTGGTTTGTCCTAGGAGGCTCTCATTCACTGACAATAAGCTTATTATTTTTTGCTTTATAGTTATTTGGCTTCACTTACCTTCTACACACCATATGTAGTAAACCACAATTCTGACCACTTCCTGTTTATTAGGAGACAGCACAATCTTGAAACCAGCCAAAAGGTTAGCAACATCTTCGTTGACTCCCAAACCGGCAGTCTGGAGAGACGGCACCACTCCTGAGATCAGCAGAAGACTGACCTGAAAAAGAAAAAGAAGGAAAACAACAGGACATGA